GACATGTAAATCAAAGATTTGAAAAAATAACTTCATCAAGATAGTCAATTTCTCAAGAATAACACAATCCGATTCCAACAAAAATCATACCACAATGGTGAATCATATCATAATGGTGGAGACTGTACAATATCCAATAATTGATGGAAACTAAATACCAAATACAAGAAAATACGTATGGCATACGATAGATAAGAACTTGTACGATATTTGAGAACCATACCAAATGCCAAAGATCTCAAGGTTGGATCCAACATTGTACTTAGGGTCACCACAGGTTGCCGCCTGGGAACTGTTCCCTAAGACGATCCGGTGAAGGTCACCAGTACACACCAGGCACTGTTCCTTCAACCGTTGAGCACTAGGGTCACCTCAGCCTCTGCCGGGTCTGTTCCCTAGTGGCCAGGGTCACCCGCATACAGAGAAATAATTTTTCCGTACATTTAATTTTGGTCCCATTCACCATCACTAAGTCTCACCATAAAAACAAGCGATTGAGTCACAATACTTCACAAAAGAATTCATCAAAGTAAGGAGAATCGTATGCTAGTAAGCATTATTGTGAAGGTAGTAAAGAACAAGTATTATGTATCATTTTTTTAAATGTTTTAGGGATACGGAGAAAATAAATAGCATGTCAAACCACTCACCTCATGTCCAAAGAAAATGCTTGTCACCCGAAGTAGAGTGAGATATAATCGNAAAATAAATAGCATGTCAAACCACTCACCTCATGTCCAAAGAAAATGCTTGTCACCCAAAGTAGAGTGAGATATAATCAATGTCTTACCTCTTTTTCTCATAATTTCTCTTTGATGAAGTGTTTTTCCTTCCTTCTTCTCTCTTTTACTCTCTATTCTTTCTTGAAAGTGAAAGACTACTTGTGCCCTTCTCCCTTAATCCAATCCCCAAATGCCCTATTTATAGGCATCCTAGGATTATTCTAGAGAATATTGACATGTGACATTTTTAGGACAATTTCACAAGTATCTAAAATCATCTATAGTCTTCTCCAACCTTCTAAGTCCTTCCGGAACTTTTCGGAACATTTTAAATCTCTCTAAAACCTTCTAGTATTTCTTAGTACCTTCTAAAATATTCTAGACTTCTCTAGATTGTTCTAGAACTTTTCAGACTCTTCTAAGAACTTCTTCAACATTCTAGATTCTTCTACATTGTTTTACACTATTTNAATATTCTAGACTTCTCTAGATTGTTCTAGAACTTTTCAGACTCTTCTAAGAACTTCAACATTCTAGATTCTTCTAGATTGTTTTACACTATTCTAAGTTATTCTTGAACTTTCTAGAATCTTCTAGAACTTTCTAGAAACTTTTCCAACATTCTAGATTCTTCTAGATTATTCTAAATTCTTTCTAAGATAATATTCACTAACTAGTTCCTTGTCAAAATAGAACGGGGTATTACAAGGTACTTGTTACCCAGACCACACCATATTTTAGAAGGTAAAGAAAGACAAAGTAGTCTACCTACATGAATGAAAAATTATGGTCACGATACTGCACATCATAAAAGTTGTACTCCCGGGAATCAAATATAGGTACAAAAGATTCAGATCCCAGCATGGGTCATGTGAGTGGTGGTGCACAAAGTTAGTCAAAGTGAATATATTTGTGAAGTGACAGTTTCTACATAATAACAGTTAATATAGAACTTGCACATGATAAGCAGGACAAAATGAAACTGGTCCGTATATGTTGTTTAAGTATACCTGGTACCCTTGCAAGGGTAGCTTTTCAAACTGAACCAGCAGATGTTATAAAGTGTTGCTGCATGTTCAACTGCTAGGACATCTCCTGGGACATCTTTCTCAAATAAGTCGAGCAAGAAATTGGAAGAGTGCTTCAGACAGAATGGATTTCTGCTGACCAGAAATGATATACTTTGCAAAAATACTTCATGTGCTTCATGAATGTCACCACGAAATCCCATGCATTTTCCTGCCCACACATGAATGCAAGAGGGTATCAAGGGGGTGGATAGCCAGGATGCAAAGAATGCCAAAATTTAGCCCATAGCATAAGAGAACTAAAGAAAACAGGAGAAACATAAATGCAAGATAGCATATTATCATATCAATCTGTACTGTACATACATAAGTTCGTACATGTTAAGAATGTGCACAAACAAAACAAAGTACAGCCTCTAAAAATGCAACCGCACTCAATCATATCTGTTCGTACACGTTAAGTATGTGCAGATAGCACTGCAACAGCACGACTATTTCCCCTTTACCATGTTTTTACAGTTGCAACTAGCTGAACCTAAAGGCAGCCATACTGGAACATTCAACCTATACAAATTGAGGACAATCCACTTCTTTTTTGTAAAACCGATTATAAAGAATGGAAAACTTTTTCAATAGAAAAAAGTAATCCATAAATCAACTAAAAAAAACGTCAATGCACACATGCTGATGTGTTTCATCAAGGTAATAATATATTGATCTCAATTTTTCCTCCCCAGTTAGGTAAAATGCTCAAACAAGAGCAGTACAGTTTTAATTACTCACCAAAAAGACTAGAATATATAACGAAAACAAGAAAGTGGATTTTAAAGGACATTAAATTAAGAAGTCTTCAATTTCATGGTTCTTTCAAGGGAGGGAGAAGACATTTAGATTCCAGACCAATATTCAATAGTCTGAGCCAACAGCACATCTGAACAACATAATAACTAAAGGAAACTACACTCTAAGTTATCTTATTTGGCACAATCATTCCTCTTCCCCACCCTCAGGTTGTCAATGTGACACAATTCCATTATTTTCCTAGTACAATACATGAGTGCAAGCAGATGCACCTATAGAACAATATGCTGTATTATGTAATGTCACCATACCTCTGCTAAGAAGTAGCCTCAGTGAGAGCCGCCTACGTACAAGCTCCCATTTCATGTGTATAAAACTGTCCACAGAACCAGATTCCAAAACGTCATGAAGAAGACAGTGCCGACACTTCATTTTGTTGCAGACACATATGAATTCACACCCATAATCAGCCATAGGATGCTTGATTTCTGAATGCGGCCCTCTTTCACTTAGTGTATCAGGGCAAGCAAACATGTGCTTGCTGTTTGAGTACTTATTGAGACCAATCTGTACACCAGGTGGAATACTTTCATTATTTTTCTGAGAAGACCGATACCTGGACCGAGTCATCCTTGAGCTATGCTCTGGCATCAAGCTTTGTTCTTGAGGCATAGGCTTCAATGCTTTCTTAGTCCTTCTAGATCTTCTGGTTTCAATTTTTGTCTCTGGCCCGTCACTTTTGGATGGGACTTCCCTCATCTCCCAGTGATTAGTTCCACAATGACAAATAGTAGCACCTCTATCAACTTCCCTCAGAAGAGTATCCTTGGGGTTACTAACTGAGTTTTTCCATTCTGAAAGATTCAGCTTGTCTATGGCTGATCTATAAATATTTTCAGCATGAAGTAAACTCTCAAGGGAAGGATTTTCAGCATTTTCATCAAAACGGCTCCTGAGTAAATCTCCGAGCTGCTCTTCAATAGNCCCTCAGAAGAGTATCCTTGGGGTTACTAACTGAGTTTTTCCATTCTGAAAGATTCAGCTTGTCTATGGCTGATCTATAAATATTTTCAGCATGAAATAAACTCTCAAGGGAAGGATTTTCAGCATTTTCATCAAAACGGCTCCTGAGTAAATCTCCGAGCTGCTCTTCAATACNGTTTCCCTAGGAAAAGATCGTTCATCAATGAAATGTACCACGTACATTGGTAGTTTGGTGCTCACATGATTAAAGAATTTCTCCCTCTCCTAAATTTCAAGTCAGTTTTGGGGAATTTAACTTGGTGAGGAAACAGAAATTATTGCAATTACTTCAAGTTATTTGAGTTTGGATTTGAATGTTCAATATCACCCTCCAAATGTTCTAAATTCAGAAGTTATGTCCTGATTACTGGGTATAATAGGAAAGTGGAGAAACCTAAAGATTGCTTTTCAAAGAGATCATGTATTATAGATGAGACATTCCAGAGTCGATTAAGGTGCTATAACAGTGAGATAAATGGAGCAGCACTAAAGCATCAGATCCAAAATCTCATAAAAATTATTAGAAGATGTGATTAAAGCGGCATGGAGATGAAGATAACCCATAGAATATAATACTCATAAAACAAAGCAAAACAACTCTATTTAGAAACTATAAATTTGATCAGCTTTGAATAGTTATCGAATTATTTGAAGAGGAAAGATTTATCATGTATTTCAACTATACAAAGATAGACACGTTTTTAATTCAAACAGAAGCTCATTGATCACTTTTATCAAGCAAGGCATAGTTTTTATGTTTGATTGTTTACGACTTTATGTGGCAAATTGACAATAGCACTTGTAAACAAACACAACCACCTTTCTTAGAATATGGAGATAATTCCCACTGTTGCAATTTAAATCATTTTAGAAAATACCTTATTTTAGCATTTATAATTATAAATTTCAAAGTAGAGAAGTCAAAAGAAAAAGGCAAACCATGGGAAATTGTGATGTTGTGGTTTAGATATATGATAGTTAGCAATATCCAATGAAAGAAATATGTGGATACACAAACGCAAAGCTGAGATGCAGAATGTCCAATGGAGGGCATTACACAAGAAATCAAGACAAACCACATTTAGTTTTCTCTTTTTTTTTTTTAATAGGAAACAGAAATTTGTATTAATAAAAATCACAAAGTACATGAAAAAGGTTGGATAAGAAGTCCAACCACATGAAAGAAATTGCAAACAGAAGAAGTACATAATAAAAACTCATAAATCACATTTACTTATCATTTCCAGAAAAGATCTTCTACACTGAACAAATAAATCAAAAGACGCGTCTATTTCCAATAATATTTGTTAGGGGCTTTTTTATTTTTTATTTTTTTTTGGGGGGGGGGGGTGTGTGTGATGTTTTCATGATTCCAAGTCAAAAAACTCCCAAAAAGCCCTTTTCCTCATTATTGATATGACTTACAGCTCCTTGAGTCTAATTTTCTGAGCTGAAAACTTAAACTAAAGATCCAACCCCTTGCCCTATCCATGCTTCCAATATTGACTGCCTCATGATAGAAAAATCATCTTAATCTCATGCATAAATATCTCCTCAAAATAAAATTTACTAAAGACATGAGCATGGTCAGAAGAAAATGAGGAAGCAAATCATTGTCAAACTACCTCAATTAGTCTTCCACTTGAAACCAATTTCTCAGACAAGTCATGGTACAGATACGCAGCAGTAAATGCTGAACCACTGGGTAAAGAGACCTAACATTAAAGGAAAAAAATTGGTAGTAAGAGACCTGCTTCAACCTAAATTTTGAGGGGAAATTAGACTTTATTGCTAGCAAAAAGGATCTCACACTAGAAAGAAGTTCAGAAGCAGCCTTCTTGACTTCTTCAACTTTGATATCTGATTGGAACATCAAACTGAAGTTCTGCTGAAACCCCACTCCTTGTGCCTCTGATCCTTTCATACAGCTTATCCAAAAATCAATGGACTGTGAAAGTTCACCACAATGCCGTGACAAAGTTGTGATAAATGACTCATTTACAGAGGAAGCACAAAGAGCATGGCCAAGCCTTCTGTATTCCCACAGCATAGCCAAACATTTCTCCAATGGAACACCCTTCCATTTAAACAATCTGATCAATATCTCAAATACTTCAGGATGAAAGTTCATGCACCCCTGGAGTAACAAAGCAGAGAAAGTTTTAGGAAGTAAAACCAGTACTACGCCAAAGATATCACTACACAAACATATAGTCATAACAAAAATCATAAAACTTACCTTAACCGATAACAAATCAACAACATTATACAACAAAATCAAGGTGTTTTCAGGAATCATATTGCTGTGTTCAGCTTCATGGCAATGATCTGGACTCGACCATAGATTTAGTGCAGCACGAATATCTTGAAAAAGTTGCTGTTTGGAACAGAAATCAAGCAAACGTTCAAAACTGAAAAGAATTTTTGTTGAAGCAAATATATTAACTGGAAATATCAGCCCATTGGCATATATTACTTAATTCTTGAGACTAGCCTTTTATCAGTAACACCTTTGAGTTTGGTTCAGCCTCTTGAGTACACAGAGCACGTAAGCAATATGCCTCAGCTAACTGATGACGAACTTGAATACTGCAGCTAAATGTTTCACCACACACCTCATTCTGGTTCAGCAACTATCTTGTATTAGTGTCACCCAATGCCAGAAAAGAGAGGGGGAAACAGGTGGAGTTTCTGAAATGGAGTTATAAGACAAAAAGATAAAGCAGGGCGAAAATTTAAGATGGCTCACCAATGTAGAGATGGCTGCTGACAGACACGGAATGCACTCATCCAGACCTTTGATTCCGCAGGCTCTTAATTCCCTTCCTTTTGTTAACAGAATTTGCGATTTCTGTAAACAGCTATCTTTCATCACATACACCACTTCTAGGAGGATGCCTATAATATCCATTCGCATTCTTCGACAAAATCTTGGGTTCAAAGCATTCATTTCTTTATATGCTAGAAGCTCCTAAACAAAGTTTAAGCAAGAATAAGGACACAAAAAGCTGTTATATCTAGCAAATAAAAAAATCAAATCCAAAAGAAAGATACAATGAAGGACATCAAACTGAAACTTCAGGAGAAAGAGAAATAGAGGAGCCCAACCTGCCCTAATAATATGCTGAGTGCCTTTTTTGACACTTTTGGTGAATTTGACAGCAAATAATATAAGGTTGTAGTGCTGTGATCATCCTTATAGAGTTTACATGCTACCTGGAAACTAGGTAACAATCAGACAGCAGAGACAATTACATAATGCTACATACAGCAAGTAGCATTAAATGTTACCTTCACCCACTGCATCACCAAAGCTTTAGGACTTGGAAGTTCTTCAAACAAGTTTTGAGCAGCAGACCAGCTTTCAAGACTCTCTCCAATGATTCTATTTACCTTCTTACTGTCATATTGAGAAAGTACATCCAAAAGAAATGCACTTTTGGAACATGCCTCGGTGACAAAACCTACAATAGCATCTTCTGATAGATCACCATGAAAGACATCTGATTTCTCTACAAACATCTCACAAAGATGTAAAACACATTTCCAAGATGCTCTGCAACATAATTTTAAAGCCTTTGAAGCCTGCAAAGAAACGTTGACGCATCAATGAAAGCCCAAACTGATAAAATGCATGAAAACAAAACACATCAACACCAACAAATATACTGATCCAATGTACCAAATATTTTTGAAACCTTAACTAGCAGGGATATTAGAATCTATTGACTAAAATGAATGTGTGGTCTTAACTGTTGCTGATTACAATTAAAACATCTGACTAGATTCACAAAAATAAAAATCATTGTCTCATATATTATTTCCATGATGAGAGAACCTCTCTTAGTGCCTTCACTTCTCAACAAGTCTATTCATCTCCATCCATTATTTTGTAAGCCTTCCTGGAGTATAATCACCCTGCCTTGGCTGGATACGTATAGACCAGTGTTATTTAAGGCGTAAAGCGAACCGAAGCGACCAAGGCTCCTAACGCCTAGGCGAGAAGCGAGAAGCGAAGCGACACGCTTTACCGAAGCAAAGCGAACAGTTAAAAAAAATATATATTTTAGTTTAATTACTTCTAAACAATCTAAGTTCTAATTTTATATATACTAAATATTTAAATGCAAGTAAAACCATAAACATTTAAATTAAAAAAAACACTAATAATATCTCAAATCTTAATAACAGTCATAACTTAAACATTTAAATTCAAACAAATACTAACAATTGTATACATTTTCATATTGACAGGGTAGGACAACAAAAGAAGCAGAATCAGGACAACAGCAGAATTAGCAACAAAAAAAAAAGAAGTAGAATGAGGATAAAAAAAAATAAAAGCAACACAGGACAGCAAAACCGAAGCAGCAACAGAATCAAAAAAAAAAAATAGAAGCAGAATGAGTTAAAAAAAAAACAGAAGCACAATGATCATGACAGGAGCAGAATCAATTGTAAACAATTTCATATGTAATTATATACTGAATAAAAAAAAGCAGAACAGAGGCACATTTCACATGTACTAAAATAATTAAACATGGTATAAGCATAGACCACTTTTTGGTACCATTTGTATATATATAAGAAAAGGGAAAAGTATAACCAAGACATATCAGAGACACTTCTTTGTAGAAGAATTTATTATTTACCCCCATTTCTGATACTCCTGCTTTATTTTTTTATCATAATTGTCATGCAGTGTAGTCGCCTGACTCCCACATCCCACAAATATTCTAAATGAATTCAGCAACACAAGGAAAAAAAAGGAATGTGTTTTGTTCGAAACATTGTTTATTTTAAAAAAAAAAAAATAGACCAGCAATAGTCTAAAAAAAAAGTCATTAGTGATTAAAAAATAAAAGAGACTACTAAACTGTAATCAGAAAAAAAAAAAAAAAAAAAAAAAGTGAAGCAGAATCGCTTTTTATAATAAAGCGTTCGCTTTTTCGCTTTTTTCGCTTCTTCGCTTTTTCGCTTTTTCTCGCTTCGCTCACGTTCGCTTCGCCTGGGGTCCTCTAGGCGAGATAAGCTCGCCTCGCCTCGCTTCTCGCCTAGGCGAGCTTTTCAAAACACTGGTATAGACAAAGATACAGCCACATTGTTCTATCTCACGTGTATGCATTGCATGTGTGTCATGTATCAGCAACTTACCAAGATGGTATCAACTGGCTCTCACAAAACCCATCCAAAACATCACCTATCAACTAATTGTTCAATTGGTCAATGCCATTTTCATTTTGTATTTATGGGTTTCAGCTTAGTCTAATCCAGATCAACAGTAGCCATTCAAATTGGATTTAGACAAAGAATGATCAAATGATGCTTGGGAGATTTGGTTTGTGAAGGTCTAGAATTAATAAAAAAAGAGTTTTGGCATAGAACTGAGGTTTTCAAGGGATGTGACCATTACCCCATGAATACAACATAAATTTCAGGCTATTAAAAGAGTCTGGGTTTGAAGTTTTGTTGAAGGAGAGGACTGGATATGCTGATTAGAGTTTTCGAACTACAAGGGAGGTTGATTAAGTCTCTTTGTAGGTTTACAGTCGCATAAAACTGAGAAGAAAGTAGGAAAAGTCCTTAGGAGTTACATTCAGGGATAGGCTTGTATCATGCAAACCCGGAAAATGCTTTAAAACATGTGCGATAGATTGATCTCTCACCATTAAGAAAGGCTAAATGTATATGCAGGCTCCAAGAGACCTTCTCCACAAGGACTGTGACTCTTGTAAAAAAAAGCTTGAATATTTGATTAATCTAATTCAACTGAACAGACCAATCTGACCCAAAAACATATCGTTCATGGGTCAAGTCTATGACTCATTTAATAAATCCCACGAAACAAAGGACCCATAAAGACATTATGAACCTCTATAACCCTGAACCAACAGAATATAACTTCAACAAAACATAAAGGGAAAAAAAATAACTTAATAGGTATTTGAAACATTGTTGATAATCATACACTTGTGTTTGAAACATGTTGAGAACAACATTACGAAACAACGTACGATTATTAACAAGGAAGTACAACATTGTTGATAATCGTACAGTTGTACGATTGTTACTAAGGAAACGATTATTATCTTATGTGTTCGTTAANCGTACGATTATTAACAAGGAAGTACAACATTGTTGATAATCGTACAGTTGTACGATTATTACTAAGGAAACGATTCTTATCTTATGTGTTTGTTATCGTATTATTAATAATCGTACGCTGTTTCTAAGGAAACTAATCATGTACATGTTGTACACTTGTGTTTGTTATCGTACATGTTGTACATTTCGTTATTAATAATCATACACTTGTGTTTGAAACATTGTTGAGAACAACATTACAAACAAGCATTTAATATGTTGCAATGTTGCAATTTATTTTTGAGTATTATGCATTTCCATCATGGCAATGACATCATACACAATTAAATAGAAAATAGTCCCTGCCGCCATTAGTACCTCTTTTGCTTGCTTATTTTTGTACAAAATAACACCAATGTTGTAAAGAGAGGCATATAGATATTTTAGCCCGTTAGTTTGAATCCAATCACTGGAAATAACATGCTCAATGAAGTTCATACTCTCCTGCAACGAAAAACAACAAACCCATCACTAAAATCAAAAATTAATTGTATTCGCTCCATGCCAGAAGATAGGAACCTTGATCTTATGCTTTGTTATAAATGACAGAGTGAAAGCAGCCACAGCTACACTGAGTACTGTTTTGTTGATATCATCAAATGCATTTCTCTCCCTTTCAGATGCACTGCATCCACAAAATATAAGAGCCCAAGGATCAATGGACTTTAATTACCAGAACTAAAACATGCAAAAACTCAGACAAGATTCTAAACAATGATAAAGAGAAAAGAAAGTTCAAAGCAATGAATTAAGCTATCAATGTCAACTCAAGAATATGGTATGAAGATGGTAATAACCGTTCATGAACACCCTCCCATATTTTTCTGCTTTTGATAAGAAACAGCNTTCAAAGCAATGAATTAAGCTATCAATGTCAACTCAAGAATATGGTATGAAGATGGTGATAACTGTTCATGAACACCCTTCCATATTTTTCTGTTTTTGATAAGAAACAGTNTTCAGGCTATTAAAAGAGTCTGGGTTTGAAGTTTTGTTGAAGGAGAGGACTGGATATGCTGATTAGAGTTTTCGAACTACAAGGGAGGTTGATTAAGTCTCTTTGTAGGTTTACAGTCGCATAAAACTGAGAAGAAAGTAGGAAAAGTCCTTAGGAGTTACATTCAGGGATAGGCTTGTATCATGCAAACCCGGAAAATGCTTTAAAACATGNGTGTACGATTATTAATAAGGAAGTAGTACAAAAGAAAAAGGAAAGGTGGACAAGTCGTCCAAACAAAAACAACAAATCAAAAAACAACACGTAAAAAGCCTTGAATACATTTAGCCCCATCTATAACTCAGATGACAAACTCCATCCCAATACACCTTCCCATATTGTTATTCCAGTGTATCAAANAACAACACGTAAAAAGCCTTGAATACATTTAGCCCCATCTATAACTCAGATGACAAACTCCATCCCAATACACCTTCCCATATTGTTTTTCCAGTGTATCAAAAGATAGTATAGGAGAAGAAAACAGTGTTGAACTCCCAAGTTACAACTATCATATATCACCCTCTTTGGGTTGNAAAGATAGTATAGGAGAAGAAAACAGTGTTGAACTCCCAAGTTACAACTATCATATAACAACCTCTTTGGGTTANACACGTAAAAAGCCTTGAATACATTTAGCCCCATCTATAACTCAGATGACAAACTCCATCCCAATACACCTTCCCATATTGTTTTTCCAGTGTATCAAAAGATAGTATAGGAGAAGAAAACAGTGTTGAACTCCCAAGTTACAACTATCATATATCACCCTCTTTGGGTTGATCTTTCTCTAAAACTAGTTTTGGAAACAACAGATAACAACCAAGAAAGTCATATACAAAACACAAACTGAATTTCTTGCAAAGCAGGCAAATGACTAAAAAGTGGAATAAACCAAGGGCCTACCTGTGATAAAGAAGAAAGGCATCACAGAATTGATGGAATGCATCCTGGATAACACTTAGATTGCTACACAAGGGAGTACCTTCAATATCAGCCAATAACTCTTTCTTTTCTGAATTTACAACCTCAGCAAGCGGCTCGCATAAAAATTTTAGTGCATTACAGAAAGACGGTAGATAAGAATTTCCATTCGTCGTGAAATCTATGGGGGCCCCATACTTGAGTCCCGCATTTAGATGTAATTGACGTGCAGAGTTCTTATATTCACCATTACATGGCAAACTGTTCTTTTTGCCATTAAAATTAAAATGATGGTCCAATAAACCAAGAGAAGAGGTCAAATGTTGGAGCCTGTCCTCATTGCTAAGTAAAAGTCCAAGAATAGATTCATCCTTTGCATTTCTCAAGGTTGTGGAGTCACTCCATTTGGTTTGACCATTAAAATCACAAATAAACAACCCAGTAGAATAAAGCACCAGAATCAAATCTATGGGTGACAAAACCTGCAAAAGGTGTATTGCATCAGACTCCGCTAAGCAGT